CATCCTCAAATGCTCAAAACTTAATGCCCATCTACTCAAAGGACATTCTGACTTCAATTTCAAGCATGATGGGAAAAAGAGGGCCAGGACTCCACCCCCCAGATCCCATAAAAGCCCCAAGGTCAAGCAATTCCAGGCCATTTCTCATGCCCTGTGTTCCAAGCAGACAGGAAGGCTTACCCTTTTCCAACAGGCAGTGCAGGTTCCCCTTTAACTTTCACAGGCGCTTTGTGCGGAGATGGTGTCGGGGAAGGAGAAGGTGAAGATGAGAAGGACCGCGACCTAGGCAGAGTAAGGACATGTGACACCCTGCTTAGTCTCTGGCACTGCAAGAGGGTGCCCTTGCCCATGCTCCTGAGCACTCCCCGCTTCCCCTTCCCTAGGTAAAATGGCTGCATCACACTAGCCAGTTCTAGCAGGCTGTAACTCATTCTGCTAGTGTTGTATCTAGTTTTCAGCTTGATGTTGGTGTTAGAGGAAAGAATTCTGAAGGAAAAATGATGGTCAGCTAGACTGTAGCTTGCACTCAGCTGTTTCACACCAATGCATGGCATCGGTGTTCCTGATGTCCTGTGGACACAGGTTATTTTAAGCTCAGACTTCCAAGCACAGGAACTGAAAACAAAACTAGACTAACTGGGCCTTCTCTGTCTCATGACTCCAAGTGCGACCTGCAGTCATTTAAAAGGAGCAGAAACTTGGAGAGGAAGATCAGATCTGATCCAAATACCTCTAGCTTCCCAAAACATTAAGGGGGTGGGGAGGGAATACAGCAGAGTACATCAAAACCTAGTTACAGAGTCAAGCGACTTTACAACAGCATCGTGGGGTGCTGCAACTGCTGGCAATATGCGATTCACCTGGCTGCCCAGGCTGAGATTCTTGCTTGTGGTTTAGTACCTGAATCTCTTCAGTCTCCGCAAGAGGAGACTGAGGGGGGATCTCGTGGCTGCCTACAACCTTATCAGGGGCCACCAGCAGGGACTCGGGGAAAGTCTGTTCACCAAGGCCCCCCTTGGAGTCACTAGGAACAGTGGCCACAAGCTGAGGGAGGATAGGTTTAGGTTAGACATTAGGAAGAACTACTTCACTGTAAGGGTGGCCAGAGCCTGGAACAGGCTCCCCGGAGAGGTGGTGCTCACCTTCCCTGGAAATCTTCAAGAGGAGACTGGACAGGCACCTGGCTGGGGTCTTATGACCCCTGCCACCCCCAGTGCTCCTTCCTGCCCATGGCAGGGGGTCAGACTCGATGATCTGTCTAGGTCCCTTCCGACTCATTGATTCTACGATACTTCAAAGGGCAAGAAGCCCAGTTTATTTGCACAAGTTTTCCCCTCAGATAACGAGTCTATGGGGAGGTCTGGGAAGTCCCATCACTCTCTCTCTCTCTCACAGCAGCAGCTGCCAATCTAAGCACATCAAACAGACTGCTTTCTGCTCAGGAACTGCCTTGTCCTGCAAGCAACAGGCTGAGGCTGAGAGAAGGGAAGAAGCAAGAAGTCACTCTCCTTCCACCAGTTCTACTGTAAAGATCTGCATCTATTTCCATAGAGTGGTCCCTCACTCAGAGGTCCCATCACTCTGCTGTACACAGGAGGAGCTGCTAATCTAAGTGTGTCAAACTGCGAGAAGCAGCTGGTTCAAGTGCCATGCTATGTATGTGTCTAGTTTTAAACCAGGCCCATGCAACCGCA